TTTTAAAAATAAAAAAAAATATAATCTTCATAACTGTTTAAGGTTATGAATCAGATAAGAAGAAAGACAATTCTTTTCTAGAGTTCAGATATTTTTTTCAATATAATTGTTGAAAGATAGATCTACATATATAGATAGATATTTGTTCTTGGGTATATGTCTAGATTATTAACTAACTACAAAAAGGAAAATGTATCCAGTACTGAATATAATTAAAAAAATAAAAAAAGAGTTAAAAGTAAAAGAACAGCTTCAGGATACAATGGAAAAGGAAGATAAGTATTTATACTAAGAAACAAAGCTCATATATTTAAACACTAGCATGAAAAAAAAAAAAATTTGATTTTTTTTATAAGAGTTGATCAAATCAATAAATTTAATTTCTACAGTAAAAAAAAAAAAAAAAAAAAAAAAAAAAATCAAAGAATTTCTCAATAAAATTTTACAACTGTTGCATTTGTTACTCTAGCAGAAATTTCTCTAGAACATAGTGTAGAAAAGATTTTGTTCTTTTTCTTTAATCCAGTATTTACATTAGTCGGACTATTGTCCTCATCTTTGTCGCCATATTTGTCACAACGTTTCGGCCATTGTACGCTCCAGCCTTCTTCAGGTGGTTGGAATTTCAAGCTGAACCCTTTATTTCGATCACTAGGGTAGACTGTTCTAGTTCCACGTGCCATTTTTGATGGATGTCAGTTATCAGTTATCTCCTGCTAATTTTCCCTCTGAAAGTTCTCCACTGCCTTAACCTTCTCTGGGTCTGTCACTGGATCTAACCAATGCCTTTATCCACTGTGCCATGTGTCCATGAGGACATCTGGGTTTGAACTTCTGAGTATTATAAACCTAATGTTTTCAGCATCATTTTTACCAGTGCTCATATTGCAATTTTTTGCTGTTATCATTTCATGTCTTTACCAGAGTTCATATTGCAACTTTGTTATCATTGATTTTCTCTGGCACTCCTTATTACTGGTTCCCATATTGTATTTATTTCTATGCTTGGTCGGCATATGTGCTGATTCCTTAAGTTTACGAATTTTCCAATGGTGTTCCCTGTCTATGATCTCAACATGATCCCACAGGGGTGGTGATCTCCCTTCTCTCCATATGTGGTCAGCCACGCCTGATTTTTTCTACTTCCCCTCACGTTACAGCTTTCTGGTGTTCTTGAAGCCTTTACCTTGAGGGGGCAGCCTGTCTCTCCTTTATATTCCTTTCCGCAGCTGCACGGGATAGCGCACACACAGTCTTTTAGTCATGTTCCTCTATATGGGGGTCTCACTCGTGAGAGATACCTCAAAATGTTGTCACGCTTTTGAAGGTTGTCCTGATGTTATATGGGCCGCAGATCCTTTGTATTTTCTCTGATAACCCCTTCACATAAGGCAGGCAGACTGTTTTCTGAGTGTTGTTGTCCTCCTCCTCCTCCTCTTGTACCCGCCATCACATTGAGAAATTACCAAAAACTGGCACGAATATCGAACCATCTGACATTCCTACACCGATGCAGAGACCTACAACTCATCCCTTCAGGCTTGGCACCAAGACTTCCTATCAATTCAAGGAGAGCTCGTCGGGTCGCAGAGAAAGCGGGACACGCCCTTGCCTGAGAGAGAATCCAGTACAACCGTTGGATGAAACACTGACTACAAGCTCATACCTCCCAGACGCTCGAGGATTTCTTCAACAGAATTACCAATGAAGAAGACCAGAGAAGGATCCAAAATGACTTAGATAAATCCTTCAGACATGAATTTGATGTAGTCAAGGCTCGCCAAGTGCAAAAATTAAATAGATTGAAAGATCAGAAGGTGACACACAAGGTCCATCACCCACCAGTGAAAGCAGTAATCAACATCAGCCAAGTGCCTCTGAGGAGTCAGTGTTGAATAAGCGTCTCAACTTCGCCACAACCATCAGGCGGGTGCCATAAATTGGACATCAAAAAAAGAGTAGAGGAGGTGGCCTTGAACATCCCTCAGGCTCAGGCGGAAAGAAAAAAGATGGAAAAAGTGAGAAGAAAGAGAAAAAAGCTGCCCAGATCTAACAAACAAAAAAAAAGAGAAAGAAAAAAGAATCAAAACAGAGGAATGAAAACATCATCATACTACCGCTGACAAAGGTAAAGAAACTGTAAAAAGATGGACAAATTGAAAAAAAGAAAAGAAAACTGGAAGACCTCAAAAAAAGAATGGTAAAGAAAGAAAAGTGAAGAAAGATCCTACTAAGAAAAAAAAAAAAAAAAAGAAACTGTCACAGATCCTAATCAAGAACAAGGATCACTTCGCAAGAAAAAAGACCTATAAAAGTTATCGAAAGAAAAAAAAAAGTTAAAATATAAAAGATTCAAAAAAGAAAGAAAAAAGAAGAAAAAAGAAAAGTTGCCAAAGCTCTGTGAAAAAAAGAAAAGAGTCGCTTCCTTGTAGATATAAAAAACCCATTGATCGGAAAGTCTCCTTCATATGTCCGAAATTCCGCACTTTGTGGAAATAATCAAAGATGCTCCCATCCTATCCAACCAGATGGTGAGCTTGGACGTTAGGAGTCTGTTCACCAAGGTACCCACAGAGGAGGTCCAATTTTTGTAGTCAGAGATAGATTGACCTCTGACTCTTCCCTAGAGGTTTATTCCAGTTTCCAATAGATAATCTGATGGAGATGTTGACTTTAATGTACAATTACAACACACTTTGGAATGGGATCTCACATATATTAACAGGATGAATTTATATTCATATTAATACATTATCGATTATTATCAACAGCAATGGCTTGTATATACATGGAATACCTTTCCCCCAGAAAATGGCATTTAAGTCTACCGCTAAAGCCAACTATATGGTTTAGTGTGCAAATGACACCTTCAACCCTTGACACATCAAATAAGATGTCCAAGTTCTAAAAACCATTGAACTTTGGAAGACCTTTAAATATAGTTTTTAAAGAGAAAGAGAAATTCAATCAGAAATTCCTGGATATTTTAATTTATTGTCTTCATCTTTGGTGTTGTTATCCATTTCATCCATTGTGTCATTCACCGGACCTTCCCTCAATTTCGATATTCAACATCCATACAAGAATAAAAAATGGGATCGTTTAATGTTCCAACACTACAGCAAAAGTCCTATGGGACAATCCAGAGATTTAGATATTAAAATGTTGGTTCATGAATTTGGTGATTGTGACGTTCAAATCCCTGGGTACATGGCAGCAGCCCCTAAAAACTGGGAAATGGGTACAAGAACAAGGAGATGATAACCACACTCAGAAAAAGAGTCTGCCTGCCTTTTAGAAGGGGTTAAAGAGAAAATTCAGTATTCACTGCCCATATTATCCAGGACAACTTCAAAAAGACCAGAGAGCAAAATGACTGAAATGTTATAACCCCAATAGGGAACATGATAGACTGTGAATATAAATAGCTGCGGAAAGGAATTTTTAAAGATATTCAGGCTGTTCCCCTGTTCAGTATAAAGAACACCAGAAAGCTGTAACGTGAGGGATCTGAAAAATTATAAAATCTAACAATAAATATAGCCATTTTAAATAAGGAGGAGATTACCGCCTCTGCAAATGATCATTTTGAGAACTGATAGACAGGGAACACCATTGGAAAATTAAGTAAACTTAAGGGAATCATTAAAACAATGACAAAAAAAAAGAAAAAATACAAATGCATACTAACCATTATAAACAGCCAGAGAAAATCAATGATAACAAAGGTAATATGAAATCTGGTAAAGACATGAAATGATAACAGCAAAAAATTGCAATATGAGCACTGGTAAAAATGATGCTGAAAAATTTAGGTTTATAATTCAGAAGTTTTATACCCAGATGTTCTTCTGGACACATGGCACAGTGGATAAAGGCAAAAGATCCAGAGACAGAACCAAAGAAGGTGAGTTCCCATTTTGGACTTATTATCAGTGGAGAACTTTCAGAGGGAAAATTAGATAAAAATAACTGACATCCATCAAAAATGGCACACATCCAACTAGAACAGTTTAAAAGGTTCAGTTCAAATTCCAACCACCTGAAGAAGGATGAGCTATAATAACGAGAACAGTTTAGAGATGTGTCCGACTAATGTAAATACTGTACATAATACCTCATCTCAGAAATATAGACAGATTCTTTAATCTTTTGAGAAGTGTCAAATTCTGAAAATGTAGAAAATTTACAAGGACTTTTTTTTTTTTTAACACTTCTGAGTCAAAAATGTAAATGATGAATACATGTTCATCTTACAGGTAGGCTCAATGGATGAACTAAAATTTCAGAACTTTTAATATACTGGGTGTGTGAAGTATAAATCTTTCATTTCAAATTGTCACCTTTGCAGGTGGCAATGGGGTCTGCATCTTAATATTTTTTTTTACAGATACTGTCAGTTACTATCATGGCTTGGACTGGTGCACACTGTACATTTGCTGTTGAAATGTTTTTTAATGAATTTATAATGGCTATTCAGAGAGCTTTTCATGTTCATTTCATATTACATGTGAATGATCCTGTTTTTCTAGAAAATCGATTTCTGCTATGGGTTGAAAATCTCAGGGCTATGTGTTCAGTGCTTAAATGAAAGCCACTTGGAAGTGCTCAAATTCCAGAAAATATCCAGAAATCATCTACAACAGTGTATGATATATAGAGATCATTTTTAAAACCAAATGAATAAAAACTATAGCCCTTTGTTTAAACAACACTGAAATAATTTTTTAAATAGGAGTTACCTTGGGGGGGCAATCCTTAAAATATGAGAGATATTCTGCCACACTCTGTATAAGCACTAATCAACACAGGTTCATGGAATTACTTTGGCTTACTTTTCAAAGGAGACAGAATAAATATTATTTTAGTATACATACTATTATTTTGTTTGTATTTCAAAAATTTAAAGGCAATGTCAATAATTATCTTTCATCTTAATTCCTGTTCTTTTATTGTTCTCTCCTCAATAGTATTTTCTCTCATTCTCTCACACTCAGTGGCTATATTGCATTGCTTGGTGTGAGAAAAAAAAGAAAGAAAGAAGAAGAAAAAAAGAAAGAAGAAGAAAAAAAGAAAGAAGAAGAAAAAAAGAAAAAGAAAGAAAGAAAAAAGAAAGAAATAAGAAAAAAGAAAGAAATAAGAAAAAGTAAAAAAAGGTCTGTCTTGCTTTGTAAGCAGAATCATTCACCTATTGCACAATTAGAAATGTCTCAATCTAATATTTAAATGTCTCCCCAATTTTTGTCTTAATATTTCTCCTTTTCCTTTCTTTCTTATTTATTTTGTTTATTCATTTTACATGTGTAAGTTTACATTTAATATAATAGTCTGTAATGACAGGTCTTTTTTATTAAATGGAACGCACACACAAATAAAACTTAAGAGCTTCTTTTTAAATTGGTGCAGGAACCCAGAACCTCTAAATGTAAAAAATATTAGGCTCTAAGAATTGTAAATTGTAATAACTAATTTTTGCTTTTGTAAACAAAGCCAAAAAAATATTTTTTCTGTCAATTTTTTAATTAAAAACTTTAATGAATCATTAATATGCAACATTAATGTGTTATGTTTTCTGCTTATAAACTAAACTGAAAATGCAAAGAAGGATTTCAAATAATGATAAACATGAAACCTTTTTGGAAAATCTTTTGATAAAGATTTTAAAAACATTTTTGATTGTGAATAGTTAGAATGATCTAATATTCTTTATATAGAAAACAAAGGCATAAGCACAATTCTTAAATTCAAACATGATAAAAATTACTCCGAGCAAGAAAATCAATTAATAAGAACATTTCCATGAAAAATTATTCAAGGTGATTTAGCGGAAATATTTAAATAAAAATAAAATTGTGATTTTTATAAAAACTAGAGTAAAATTTAACTAATTTGTTTTTATATTTATTCATTTTTAAAACTTAAATATTTTACTTTAAATTTTTGTTACAATATAATTGTTATAATATTTTACTTTAAATTTTTGTTTAATGCTAGCAGTATATGCTAGCATTAAAAATAAAATACTTAAAGATTGAATGGATCAAAATAAATATGTATTTCCTAAACATTTTAATTTTTTTTCTTTATTATGCTACTAACAATGATAAAATTTTAAAAATGTTTGATTTTGGAATTTTGGATTTAAAAATCTTTGGGAGGATAGTTGTTTTGTGGAACAATTCCAGGTCAATGATAAAAAATTTTAGTCGAGAACTCTGAATGCAAAAAAAGCAAAAAAAAAAAAAAAAAAAAAAAGAAAATATCCTGATACAAATGCTAATTTATTATCAATATTTCTACCTGTGAAAGTCTTCGACAAAGAAAACCTTTTATATATTATTGGTAGAGTTGATAAGAAGACTTGGTCAGCAGAATTTAAAGAATAAATGATTGGTTCACCAGTTGCCAAAGCCTTTCTACAAAAAACACTTAAAATTTATACTAGATTTCTGTCTATAATGAAGCATTAAGAAAGTTAAAAAAGATGGTTCACAGTTTCTTGCTATACAATTTTTCTCTCCAAAATCTGTCTTACATATTTATAAGTCTACTATTCATCCTTGCTTTGAATATTACTGTCATATATGGTCTGGTGCTCCTGATATATATCTAGAGATTCTTGATAAAATTCAAAGAAGAATCTATAATGTTATTGGTCCTGACCTGGCATCTTAGCTTTAGTTCCTTTCCCAACGATAGTAACATGGCTTCCCTGTGCCTTTTCTCTAAATACTTTCATGGTAATTGTTCTGATGAACTTTCTTCTATAGTACTTAGACTTTATGAATTTAAGCTCAGTACTAGATTGTTAATTGATGATACCTTGCCACCAGTCAAAATGGCCATCTTTAACCATAAATTCTATGCTAACAATTTCTTTTCTTGCACAACTCTTTTCTGGCTCCATACTTTCCAATTAACTTTGATCTGCAAAAATTTAAATGCAGTGTTAATTGTTATCTTGTCTTAATTCTTATTCTTTTATAGTCCTCTCCCCTTAATAGTAGTTTTTCTTATATTCTCTAACATCCTCTTGCATCCTAGTTGCTTTATTGTTTGGGGTAAAATAATTTAAAAAAAAAAAAAAAAAAAAAAAAAGAAGCATTTTCTAATAGATACATTTTTCTTATATAAAAATCAATTCTAAACATCTGTTCAAATAAATTTCTTGAATAGGAGGACACTTCCACAATCATGGGTTTAAATGGGTATAGATATATTGTCAAAACAAATATGCAAGCTATTACTAAGTAATTTCCCCTTTTTTAGGAACCAATTGTAATGAACAATGAATTATCCTAACTAGAAATCATACACAGCAGTTAAAAATAAATTTGGAGTACATTAATATATCTTAGTTTTTGTACAGTAATGGTAGTGTACACAGTACAAAAATCTTGTTCTCCTCCATGGCAATGCAAGAACTGCATACAGCAAGAACAACGCAGGAAAAAATCTGGAATTCTGTTGGTCTGTTCTCCACCTGCCATTTTTACCTGACCTTGCACCAACCAATTGTTACCTTTTTTTGATCACTGCAAAACACTTTGATGGGGAAAACCAGCTATTGAAAGCAGATTCAAGAGTTTGTTTTTGTTTTTTTTACATCATAACATTCAGAATTTTGATCAAAAAGTATGAAAATAACACTGACATCTCATTTTAACAAATATATTTACCAAAATTACACAAAAATATCTTGAAATAGCAAAGAGTAAATTTATTCAATAAAATCACTGTTGGCTTCAACAATGGCCTTCAGGCGACTTTGGAATCTCCTGCAATTCTTCTGGACAGTCTCTTGATTTAAGTTGGTGAATGCTACTGTAATCCTTGCCTTCAGTTCATCTTTGATGTTACAAGGAGTTTTGTTGGTCTCTTGCTCAACTATACTCTACACATAATAATCAAGGGAGTTGCAGTCTGGGGAGTTAGGTGGTCAGATGTAAGGAGTGATATGGCTGCAGAAATTGTCTGACAGCATGACTGGGTTCTCCTGCTTGTGTGGCATTACCAGATATAAGGTCTTCCTGCAGCTACCCTCTTGACTCAAGGTAGCACTACCTCTTCATTCTCAGGCTTTGTGGCAAGATGAATAGGGGCATAACACTGCCATCAATTGTGATCACTCCAAACACCATGTGGACTGAATATATCATCCAACTCTTTCCAAATCCTCTGCACCATCTTAAGATTGACACCCAAACATTCTGAAAGGTTTTTACTGGTTCTTCCAGCACAAATGCCAAGCAGTACAGCATGCTGTTTCTAAATTTCTGGTGGGGTGAATTTTTTTCACAGATGTTGCTCAATTGACACTACTATACAGTGAAGTTGACAAAATCAAAAACAAACAATGCACATGTACAAAATTAAAAATATGAAGTGCAACCATTTATCCATCGCACCCTGTATAATTGAATAAAATGCAATTCTACTTTATTTTTTGAAGACTAAGATTGATGAATAAAACAAAAATTATAAATCATCCTAATATTTTAAAAACTTTACATAAAGTGATTAATAAGGAAATAGAATTTTACTATGTTCAGAAAATATTCATTTTTCAATTTGCTTCAAACATTCCAGATTCATTTCCATTCATTTATATCTTCTCTAGTTTTATACAAGTGACCAAAAATAAAAATGCATAAAAATACAATAACATTAATTAGCAAAAATTTTCTTTTTCTTTATATAAATTTCAGGCAAGTCAGTTAAATTCTGGACATGTGCATATAGATAACTTAACCTATAATGATGTACAGAATGCAATATTCAATCTATACTTAATTATAATTCAGATGCCAATGACCAAATATGCTAACAAAAAAAAAAAAAAAAAAAGGACTTACACTTCCAAATGACCCATTTCCTTGTGTTGCAAAGGATACACTTGTGATCTTATAACCAACAAAATTAGTTATATGAAAGGGGGAATAAAGAAAAAGAGGGCTATAAAAAAAAGAGCAATAAAAAAAGAGCAATAAAGAAAAAGGAGAAATATAGAAAAAAAAGGAGAAATATAGAAAAAAAAGGCGGGATAAAAAAAGACTATAGAAAAGAAGGAGGACTATAGAAAAAAAAGAGGAATGAAAAGAAGAAGGACTATAGAAAAAAAAAGAGGAATAAAGAAAAAAGGGGAATATAGAAGAAAAGGAGCAATAAAGAAAAAAAAAGAGGGATAAAGAAAAAAAGGAGGAATATAGAAAAAAGAGGGATAAATAAAGAAAAAGGGGAATAAAGAAAAAGGGGAATAAAGAAAAAGGGGAATAAAAAGAAAAAAAGAGGAATAAAGAAAAAGGAGGGCTATAGAAAAAAAGGGGAATAAAGAAAAAGAGGAATAAAACAAAAAGAGAAATATGAAAAAAATTTACAGAAATATAGAAAAAAAAAGGATAAATATAAAAAAAAGGACTGGTAGAAAAGAAGAGGGAAGAAAAAAAAGGAATAAAGAAAAAATTGAATAAAGAAAGAAAAAAGGGAATATAGAAGAAAAAAAGGGATTAAAGAAGAAAAGGATTATATAGAAAAAAAGGACAAAGAAAAAAAGAAACTAAGAAATAAATAATAAAAAAGAAAAAAGAGGATAAAGAAAAAAACAATTTAAAAACGGAATATTGAAAAAAATTATTCCATATAGAAAAAAGAGGAATAAAGAAAAGGACTATAGAAAAGAAGGAGGAATATAGAAAAAAAAGCAATAAAGAAAAAAAGTGGAATGAAAAGAAGGAGGACTATAGAAAAAAAGAGAAGGATAAAGAAAAAGAGAGGGATAAAAAAAAAAGGGGGATAAAGAAAAAAAGGGGGATAAAGAAAAAAGAAGAATAAAAAAAAGGAGAACTATAGAAAAAAGTAGGAATAAAGAAAGAAAAAAGTAGGAATAAAGAAAGAAAAAAGTAGGAATAAAGAAAGAAAAAAGTAGGAATAAAGAAAAAAAGAGGGATAAAAAAAAAAGGGAATAAAGAAAAAAAAAAGGGAATAAAGAAAAAGAAAAAAGTAGGAATAAAGAAAGAAAAAAGTAGGAATAAAGAAAGAAAAAAGTAGGAATAAAGAAAGAAAAAAGTAGGAATAAAGAAAGAAAAAAGTAGGAATAAAGAAAGAAAAAAGTAGGAATAAAGAAAGAAAAAAGTAGGAATAAAGAAAAAAGAGGAATAAAAAAGGAGGAATAAAGAAAAAAAAGGAGGAATAAAGAAACTGATGAAGGAAAAAAATGAGAAAAAATTGCAACACATTTCTGCTATTTGCAACATTTCATTGTGATTCTGTAGTGTCACTCCATGAGGTTCAAAGAAGGATGGTCCTTGTGAAAAGATACAAGCTTCATTTGCTCAAAGCTATTTTTAATCATTAACCTAAGAGAGCTGTTGTATACAGCTGACATTTTATTTATTTCTGAATGGCTTTGGTGCCATACATGACATCCACATGCAAGTCTCAAGGCTATTTTAAAAGGCTTTTTTTAAATGTGAATTCTTACACATGTACACACATTTGTATATGGGCAAGGCAATATTTAAATAAATTTCACTATACTAAAACTGCCTGTAAAAGAGAACAATTCAGCAGCAGAGCAACAAATGGCCAGTACAAAATAGCTCATATGAACAGCCTTGGCCTGCTTGTCAGGCTGTGTAATTCTTTTCAGTGATTAGATACCAACATTTTGTACTGTTAAACCAGTGTCAGGTGTTCAAGTAGGTTAAACTAGCTGTTAATGAAATTCATACCAAAAAAATGACTATAGATTTCACAAATACAAAATATTCACCAACAACAATACAAATGGGTAGCAAATAAAAGCTGTGGTGTGTATTTTATACAATTTTAGCTTTTAAATGAACTCACTTCACAACACAAATGTTAATATTAACTGTTTCCTTATAAGGAAACATTTGGCATTTATTAACCCAGTAGACAGTAATAACATTGGTTGAAAGTTATAAAATCTTTCTCTTAAAACAATTTTTCATGAAAATCGGTTTCTCAAGTCCAGTAGCTATTATTGCTTTTTCCAGTATTGATGGGGGTTTTGCCCTTAACTGGGTATTGAACTCACACTCTTTGGGTCTTGTCACTGGATCTAACCAATGTCTTTATCCACTGTGCCATGTGTCCGTGAGTTCAATACCCGATTAAGGCAGTGGAGAACTTTCAGAGGGAAAATTAACAGGAGATAACTGATAACTGACATCCATCAAAAATGGCACGTGGAACTAGAACAGTCTTCCCCAGTGAGCAAAATAAAGGGTTCAGTTCGAAATTCCAACCACCTGAAGAAGGCCGGAGCGTACAACGGCCGAAATGTTGTGATAAATATGGCGACAAAGATGATGACAATAGTCTGAATAATGTAAATAATGTACATAATACCTCATCTCAGAAATATAGACAGACTTTTATTTGAAGTACATGGAATGTCAACATCTTGATTATACCATTATTCATTTCAGGTGTTGCTACTGTTGGTAGTCATCAAGTGATGAGGACTTTCTTATTTGATATATGTCTTTGTGATTTTGTAGTGCCAATCCACAAGACCCACAGGCTTCACTTGTTCAAAGCCATTTTTAACCAATGATCTTAAAAAGCAGCTGTTTAGATTATTCCTGAATGGGTTTGACATTCATATGAAGGTCTCAATTTGACAAGGCTATTTAAGAACATGACTGAATTTCCAGGTTAATGCTTTGGCTTAAAAAGAACAAATTAAATCAGCTTATGGCATATTATATTATGAAAGAAATTAATCATACAGTCTTAAGATTCTACATTAAATTAAGCATCATTGGCAATATAAACATGTAATTTACGATGGGATTCAGAAGAATCCACAGCTCAGCCCACTTCACAAAATCTGATAAAAGTAACCAAATATCTGAGATTTTTTTTTAAAGCACAATGAAAAATGGAAAATTTTATATTTTGAAAATTCAGAGGTCAAGCCAATGATTTTTAACATATACAAAAATCTCTAAATAATTGAATCCATTTAAGAAAATTCATGCAATTTTAATTTTGCATCATCAATAACATAATACCAATGAGAAAAATTAAGGAACCACCATTATTTCTGTTATGATACTAGCCTCATAACACAACAGAGACAAACTGACAAGTTCATATTGCTGCAAAAATAAGAGTGCATCAAACGATAAAAGATTTCTATATTGCTTACCTTTGTTAGTTCAGATGATGCTACCCAAATAATATTAACAACCAACAACACCACCACACCCAAGATCAACCGTTGAGGCCTAGATAACCCACTTAACCCTAACATGGCCTGCTTCACATACTGGACAGTCAAATCTGAAATGAAACAAACATTGCTTCACTAATAAGAAAACATTTAATCAGAATAATAAAAAAATAAACAAAGATAAATCATTGGCTTGAGTTGGTTTGTAGATGGAATAACCTCTACCATCCAGTAAAAATGCATACCATTGTCAGAGTAAAAGAAAGACACAAGAGAGGATTTGTCAGATAATATCTGAATATGATATATAGCTTTGTCATTTAGCAACAAAAGACTAAAAAACACCAGCAGACATATTTAAAAAATATTTTATGACCTTTGCATTATGTCACACTACATGACTTACCAATTAAAAAACAAAATTACTAACACTGGCAAACGCCCTCACTGGCAAAATCTGTTCTGAAGAATTCAGACTAGAATTATATAAAGAATAAAAATTACAGTAACAACTGCTTGCTTTGCTTTAATTCAAAGATTTCAATCATAACTTCAAATTTCCTACAATCAACAATAATATTGCAAAAATGTCCATTTTTTCATCTAATATTTCAAACTGTTTATGTTTATAGAAATATGCAAGACATGTTTAATTTTCAATGTTTTTATCATGACAAATAAAACCAAGTTATTATAAAAAGAAGTTTTCAGAAAATGGTAACATTTCCATTTTTGTTTTTGCTTGCAAATAGTAACAGAACCATATTTTTGTTTAAGTCTCAGGTTCATCAATAATGTCAAAGATACCAAAGTAATTTGTAAACCTCAAAGCGAGGAACTGAGTCAATTAGTTGTTTTGATTTGAGTAGAATATTGATCTTTAGTCAAATCATCCAATATTGGAATTCAAGAACAAACTTGATAAATCTTTTGTTTTCCCAGATATTGATACAAATACATTTAGTGCATACTGTTTACAGGAATTATGCTGGCAATATGTGCAATGATAATGTAGTTTAAAAATTGGTAGGAATAAAACTGAGTTGCTGAAAATTTCTTAGTACAACCAAAAACCTCTTTAAAAAAAAAAAAAAAAAAAAAATCAACTGTTTTGAATTTGGTCAGATTTTTAGAAATGGGTCAAACCAAAAACTTTTCAGCACCCTCTCATAAGTATATACATAGGTAGTGTATATATATATATATATATATATATATATATATATGAGATGCAACACCTATAACATTAAGTTATAAAGTGTGAATTGTAATCGTTTAGTAACTAAAGTTTTTCCTTCTTTATTTCTGATCCATGTTTATTTTGTTATTTTAAAATTTTAACATGTAAATACAACCTGGGAGTTTCTAATAAAATTTCATAATTGTATCATAATATTCATAAAATTTATTCTACAAAAAGAATGCAAAAATTTAGGTCTCTGGATTTTTTTTTTAATTTTAAAAAGGGAGAAATTATCATACATTAATATCAGTCACAATTGTATAATAATAATTTACAATCTCAAGTAAAACTATGATCTTGCCATCATTCAATCAATATATAAAATTTTGTGACATCCGTTAGTCTGTCCATCACATCCTCTAAAATAGGCATTGACTGATCAAAACTAAATTTTAGGGTGAAGTGAAAACTGCTAAAAGGTACAGAGTACAGTTGGTTTTACTAGGGTTGTGTAGCTTAGTACAATAAATGTTCATTATTTTTTCAAAGAACATTAATGAAAATTTAAAAAAAAAAAAAAAAAAAATGATTGTCTTGCGAAATTGAACAAAACAGAGTTTGTAAATCAGGCCTAAACATGTTAGCAATAATTTCAACAATGCTAAATATTCTGAGGATTTCAACAAGCATCAGTGTATTGCAAAAAATTCTAGTTTTAATAAGTTAGATCCAATGCTTAAATTAGCAACAAGAAAAAAAATATTTAAAATATGCAACAAACATTGAAAGTGTAGAAGAATATAAAAATGATATCTGAAATATTTCCTGCTAATCAAAGCTACAGTTAACATTTTGTAAATGAAAGTAAACAAAACATGATTGGCAGCAACAAACTATTATTTTATTATGTAAGGTAAGACTCTTTGGGATGTTAATATCAAATCAATGTTACAATTTCCAGCTCATTCAAACAATGTATATTTATTGACTTTTTCATATTCTAAATCAGTTAAAATTTTCCTAAAATATGACTAAAAATGAAACTGTAAAGTTTATCATGCAACAAAGTTATGAACAGGTATAGTATGTGATTCATGCCAGGAAATACCAGAGGTCTGAATCAAAAGTCAGGAATTCGATCTAAGAAATATTGATCTTTGGTGATTCCAATATATACTGGGTTCATCCTAAGAAATACCAAAGTTTTGTAACTCATGTTATCTCAGAAAGTAAAAAAAAAATCTAGGGACCCAAAGGATTGACCTAGAAAGTAACTACAAAGTCACCAAATGCAGTAATGAGCTTCAAATGTGCCAAGGAAGTGAACCCAGTTGAAGTTTGGATATACATATACACAAGACAACTGTATAACAGGAAGTTATATAAATGTTTCCACTGATGATGAGAAAAGAATAATTCCTCACATCCTTGCAAGAAAAGAATTTAATATTCAAAGAAAGACCTGAAACCACTTACCCTTGATTTGGTCAATGTTAATTTGACAAAGTTGAATAAACAATTATTTTGCATATGATAAATTTAGTCTTGTAGTCTTTACTAACATAACACTGGCTACAATTAAAAAATGGACATGTTTATCTGGGGTGGGGGAGTTGATAAAAATCACTATGCTTATTTTGAAAACTAGTTCAATTCTGATAAAAACAAAAATTTTAAAAATAGTACATACTAATGCTATGGTCACTTTGTATTATTGTATATTTCAAAGTTGCAAAGACATAACTGAAATCCAGACTTTATTTTTTACTATAAAACCAAATATATTGAGGTAGATGAATACACAGGCACATT